GGGATGGAGGAGGGCGGGTGGGTGGAGGGGGAGAGAGTAACCAAAGAATTTATATGCATATATGCACAACTCAAGGACACGGACAATGGTGGGGAGAGGGACTGGGGAGGGGGAAGGAACGGGGTGGAACGGGTCATTGGGGAGAAAAAGGGACATCTGTAATATTTTAAACAATAATAAAATTTAAAATAAAAAATAAATAAATAAATAAATAATAAATAAAAAAGCATTCACTGTGTTTCCTATCTATTACCACAGTCCCAAGTCTTCTTGAAGCAGCATTATTTTAGGATTGAGTCATTATTTTAGGATTGTAGTTATAGACCTAACCGTTCCCCTTTGAAATTTCTTTGGTCAGTTTCTTTGAGTCAAGTTACACCTTGTTTATGAATGATTCATAAGCAAGTCTTTCACTATTGCCTTTTTAAGTGAGTCCTTTGATACCAGTGTCATGAATTAATGATGTTTTGTGAAGCACTTTTCTGTCAAAGCTTTGGAAGTCTTGCTTTAGCTGCCACTGTGTCAATTAAACACTTTCTTCTCTTCTGTTGATAAATCTTTAAAGAGTGAGTCAACATGTTCTTTATTACTCTAAGAGTAGTCAGACCAGAAAAAAAAGACTGGTTCAAAATCTCAGTATCTATGTTTTTCCTTTTACTTTCTTCCAAAATAACTTATTGACCATATAAATTTGTTTGCGAACAGTACCTGTCTTAGTTGTCTAAGGTTTTATTTTTCTGGAATTTTAATATGCTCTATTCTAAAGTACTATCTAAGGCTAATGAGAGCTGGCAGGAGACTTAAGAGACTTTTACCCCTTCACTGCTTGTAGCAGGGCTGGAGGAATAATGACACCTAGCTGGTAAGATTAAATAAGCTAACAAACATTTGTAAAGTGTCTAGCATACTGTCCCAGGCACAGTAAATGCTAAACAATTAGTCTTTATCATCATTACGTTGATTCCATACCTTCTAATAATACCATGACAACATTCTATTTCTCACTTAGGTCTTTACTGGGATTTTTGCAGCTGAAATGGTTTTAAAACTAATTGCCATGGATCCGTATGAGTATTTCCAAGTAGGATGGAATATTTTTGACAGCATTATTGTGACTTTAAGTATAGTGGAGCTTTTCCTATCAGATGTGGACGGATTGTCAGTTCTCCGGTCATTCAGACTGGTAAATATTCTGTACTTTATATTCTGTATGTAAAAGGGTGTTTCTTCATTTTGGGATTGTTATTATTTAAATTTTTTGGAGGTTTGAACCAAAAGAAAAGATTAGGTCCTGATGTCTAATAAAATAAAGTTCATTCAGTAACAAATACACTTAAAGAACTCAAAGCCACATGAATATTTAATTTTAGGATCTTAAAGATATATTCAGTTGTATATACTCATATAATAGAAAATATTTCTTTACCCAGTAGGGCAATAATTTATTTCCCAGTAAGAAGCTTATGGTTTACAGAATTTTAACCATTATAATATATCCATTACTTTGTGGATTTGATAATTAAAAATTAAATCATTGTTCCCAAAACAATTGTTGTCTAATAACAAAAATACAAAAAGGTAAAGAATTTTTAAAGCATTTTTTTTCTATCTGGTTGGACTTTATCCCTGTGTGTCTGCATTAAAATTTTATAAAACTATCAGAAAATAAAATTAAGGATAAATTACTAACTTTATATCTGAAACCATGTTAAGAGGCTTCTATAGAAATCCTGAACTAAAATGTATACTTTCTTCAAAACATATATGGTAATTATATTGGAAGAAGTATAACAAAGTAACAGAAATATTGTGAACGGCTGAAAATTTAAACTACAAATAATCAATTTTTTGCTAGCTAATGACAATATTTTAGAACTTAAAATTTGTAATAAAACTCAAGATTGGAAACATTAATACTTATAATAATTAATATTATGCTTTGTGTTTACTTTTAGCTCCGAGTTTTCAAATTGGCAAAATCTTGGCCAACACTGAACATGCTGATAAAGATCATCGGTAACTCAGTGGGGGCCCTGGGCAACCTCACCTTGGTGTTGGCCATCATTGTCTTCATTTTTGCCGTGGTTGGCATGCAGCTCTTTGGTAAAAACTACAAAGAATGTGTCTGCAAAATCAATGAGGACTGTACACTCCCACGCTGGCACATGCATGACTTCTTCCACTCCTTCCTGATTGTGTTCCGCGTGCTGTGTGGAGAGTGGATAGAGACCATGTGGGACTGCATGGAGGTCGCGGGTCAAGCCATGTGCCTTATTGTTTTCATGATGGTCATGGTCATTGGAAACCTAGTGGTATGTCGCCAGATGTTCACACATTTAAAATTCTCCATAGTGCCCTGGCTGGTGTGGCTCAGTGGTTGGAGCATCAGCAGTGCAACAAAGGGTCACAGGTTCAATTCCCGGTTGAGGGCCTGAACTTGGGTTGCAAATTCGGTCCCTGTTCTGGTCAGGGCGCAATGCGAGAGGCAACCAGTAGAGTGTCTCTCTTGTGGATGTTTCTCTTTCTCTCTCTCTCCCTCTCTCTCTCTGTCCCCCTCCCTTTCTGAAAAGCAATGGAAAAATATCCTCAGGTAAGGATTAACAAAAAAAATTCTCCATAGAAAATTATTATATGAGAATATGACCAGTTATTTTATAATGTAGGATTAATTAGATCTAAAACTATTAATTGTAATAGAACATTGATCATTTCAATAGAGGAATAACAGAAAAAAACAACAAAATATTGTCTTAATTTTCCTGCCAGATAACCCGTACTTATATTTTTTACAAGATTTTTGCCAATGAAAGATGACAGAAATATAATGTCAAAAGTTGATAACCAACCACCATTGAATTACCAATGATAGAGAATTTAATCTGAAAAGAAAGAAATAAAAAATTATGTTTCTAATATAGTCCTCTGTATAATATAGTGATATGCTAAACAGACCTCTCTTTTTTTTCTTTTTCTCATTCCTTAGGTCACTTTACTACCAATTAATTAAAAATCATAAGTTTTAGAGGGTAGTTTAGGAAAATTAGATTTTAGTAAGCTCAAGTTTACATTAGGAAACTGGTGAAGAACATTAATCAGAATCACACCTTGGGTAAAACATATCTATTAACATTTCTGTCCCTGCCTGATAAGAAAATGAATACATGATACAGAATGGACTTCATTCTCATTTGTGATATCCAGTAGACTATGATAAAATATTAACATCTTGTTGTGGTTTTTGATGGAATTAAAGGCACAGAAACAGAGGCTGCATTGGTGGTTACTAGGAGCTGGGAGGGTGGGGGTGGAAATAAGAGATGCTGGTAAAAGAGTATAGAGTTCTAGTTATAAGATGAGTAAGTTCTAGTAATCTACTTTATAGCATGTGATTATAGTCAATAACACTTGAACATCTCTAAGAGAGTAGAAGTTAAATGTTCTAACCATAACAAAATAATGTCATGATGGAGATAGATAGGTGTTCCCAAATAATTTTGATTATATTAATATGTGGTAGATGTTTTGGGCCATGAATAGATTTACGTGGAAGGGTAATTCTATTACCTTTTTGTTTTCTATATAAAACAATGTTTAAATATAATTTACATATTTTCAGCCCTCTGTGAGAATCTTTATTTTTTACAATATTGAGTTCACCTGGACCCTACCTCTGGGAGGAACAGCAGAAATGGTTTTGCACACAAACAGGATTTTGCCTCAAGGATAACTGTCCTGACCTCATTTCAGTCTCTTCCAGGGCCAGAATGATTGGTGTTAAAGCCACCCAGATCATAATGCCATTCTCTCATTTGAATTGGGTTCAATGGGCAAGCCCTTTTCTCTGCTTTAAAAGCCTCATTAAGTTGCAAGCTGACACAATTCTTGGACAGAATATTTTATTACAGGAGGTCTGCAAGTATGACATATCCCATTTGTTGCAATAAGTGACATTTATCTTCTGGGGAAAGTGACTTGACCTAAATCACTTCAGCACAGTAGACAGTAGTCACAGTTTTCTTGTACTCTTTCCCCCTGGTAACATATATTAATCATAAGGAAACACTAGCAGGACTTATCAGGTCCATAAAAGGGAATTTGACCAAGGGCCTCCTGCTGCAGGAATGAACTTCAGGGTGACATAATGACAGTGGTAATGGGAGTGTTGTTCCCTGCTCCTTACGCTAGTCCTTCATGGGTAGGGCTGAACTCCCCGCGTTCACAGGAGCTGGTATATGGGGAGACTGTTGAGGAGTCTCGCCTCGCATCACATGTTCTTATCTATGTGTGGAGAGGTATAGAGATCTTCATTGCTGGTGTGGATGTTGGCCTTTATTTCAGAAAAGTGTCCTTATTTTCTTTTTTATTTCCTGTGTCCCTCTTTTCCCACACCCACCCCACCCTGATCCAGGTCCTCAACCTGTTTCTGGCTTTATTACTGAGCTCGTTTAGTTCAGACAACCTCACAGCCAGCGATGAGGAAACGGATGCAAACAACCTGCAGATCGCAGTGGCCAGGATTAAGAAGGGAATCAGTTATGTGAAACAGACCTTACGGGAATTTATTCTAACGGCATTTTCCAAAAGGCCCAAGATTCCCAAAGAGACAAGACAAGCGGAAGATCTAAACAGGAAGAAGGAGAACTATATGTCTAACCGTACGCTTGCTGAAATGAACAAAGATCGCAACTTCCACACGGAAAAAGATAAAACCAGTGGTTTGGGAAGGAACATAGACAGATACTTGTTGGAAGAAAGTGACAGTCAGTCATTTATTCACAATCCCAGCCTCACGGTGACTGTGCCAATTGCGCCTGGGGAGTCCGATTTGGAAAACATGAACACTGAGGAGCTTAGCAGTGATTCAGACAGTGAATGCAGCAAAGGGGTAAGACTGTTTTATACGCATTGTGTTTCATAGTATTAATCAGTATGAAATGAACCACAATTTCAGATTTTTGAGTCATAAGTCCTTTCTCTTACTGCATGCTGATGGGCAGTTTTTGTGTGTGTGAGTTTACACAGCAGCTTCCTGAAGGGTTATCTAATAAAGTTTTGCTTAATGGTCCTTAATAATTGATTTAATCTTAGCTATATTTGAAAGCACCAGGTATCTTTAAATCTTCTCTCCGTTCATCCCCAGTTTGCTATCAGTTATAAGGTCATACAGAGGTTTCCTCCACAGTGTCTGTTGAATCCACTGCTCATCTTCATTCCCTTGGCCTTTGGACTCACTACTTCTTACCTAAACCATTCCAAGTAGAGTCTTTAATGATATCTTTGCCTCCATTTTTCATCTACTCTAGTCTCTTTATTTGATTAATTTTACTCAGGTTCAGTCCTAATCATGTCACTCCCTTGAAGTATCCTTAGTCCCCAAAGCCTCCTGAATTATAGGCTGTAGATAGAGCCTTCACGTCATGGCCCCCACCAGCTTTGACCAACTGTGTCTCCTAGTGTTTTCCTGGAACTCTTTCACCTGTACAAGCCGATTTCCTTCTGAGCCACAGACACTACCTCACTGACTTTGCTTTGGATTTCCTTCATTCAGAATCCTATACACGTCTTTATAAAGACATAGCCTTCAGCTTCCTCATTTGTAAAATTTTTAGTCCTTAAATCATAGGGTTAGGTAAGGGTTAAATGAATTAACACATATATAAAATGCTTAGAAAGTACTCAGAATGCTCAAAAGTGGTTGCTATTACATCTTTTCTGATTTCTCCCCAAGCAGATGTAATCTCTCCTCATTCTGAACTCCACACAATATTATGCTTCTTCCTGGATTTGTTATTTTTAGTCTTGTATTTTAATTTTTTTGAGAAATGATTGTATGCATCAGAGTACTATAAACTCATTAAGAACAGGAATCTTTTATTAAAACTTTTTTGTATACTCCTTCCCTACACCTGGTTGCATATATTCAAAGTATTATTGAGCTATATTTTTTAATATGGAATATAATATCATAAGTGAGTTTTATGACAGAGCATTTAATGGCATCTAAACTTTTAAGATATCACTTAAATGTTTTTCCTTTCTTTAAATCACATTTGAAAAAATTTGACAGGTATTTACCAAACATCTTCTGCCTGCTTAACCCTATATTCAATTTGACCTCCATGAATTTATAGTGGACTTTGGAATAAAGATACGCAGCTGTGTCTGTGTGTGTGTGTGTGTGTGTGTGTGTGTGTGTACTAGCTGTATGACCAGTACTAAATGCATAGTAAATTCTCAATACTTATTGAGTGAATAGATGATTATATGAGTAAGAAGTATATATTTCTAAGTAGCCAAAGAAATTCTTTCCAAGATGACAAAGTAAGGAATAAAATGTTTTATTTTTAAAACCTTGCATAAAAGACATAATCTCTCCAAAATTCAAAAAGGCATGGTGTGGTATTTTTGTGTATTATTGAATTCATCTTCGTCATCTAAAAGAAGTTCAGGTTTAAAATTATCGACTTTGAGAGTTTGCCCTTCTTTATGAGAAATTTTCCATGACATTTCTCAAAGTATATCATCTTGAGTACATTCAAATCTACTTGACTGTATGTTGGATTTGAGAAATCATAGAAGTTCAAGATTTATAGGAAATTGGTTAGATAGCTTAGAGGTAATATTGAGCTGTCATCAGCTGTGAAACCCTGTGTCTAGAGTCTCTCCCCAGTTGCTTCAGATTTAAATGTTCCTAGTTACCACTTGGTTTTGTGTGTTTTTCTCCATCTGAACCACTAAACAATGCTGATTTTCTTTATCTAAAGTGTTTGTCTTACCCTTTCTTGCTAACTTCCCTGCTCTAATCCCCCTAATCTTCAGCTCCCACTTGAGTTCCTAGATTTTTTAACTGCTTATTCCCACCTTTTCATGCCTGAGATAGCTTTGAAATAGTGATTGCCATGTTCTTGATGAACCTTGCCCAAGAAGCAAATATTGATTACCCGATAGAAAGTAATGCCTGATTCAATACATTGAGGTTATTTAAGTCTTAAGCACTGCCTTGAGACTTAATACTTGCCCTAAATCCTAGCTTTGGTATTTACTAACTATGATCTTGAGCAATTTCAAAATATCCCCTTTTTTTAGTTTCCTCAGATGCAAATTAAAATTGGAATGAAGAGTAAAGAATTTATGTTAATAATTAGACAAGTGCCTTTTGGAGACTACGTGCCCAATTAATGATTATTATGGGTGTGAAATTGAGTAGTCATGTATACACTGTAAGGAGCTATTTGCTACTGATTAAATTTAAGAGAGGTAATATCATATAGATCAGTGGTTCACAATTTTAGCGTGTAAAGACACAGGGAGCTTGGTTACAATGCCTGTTCTGGAACATGTTAACCAAATAAGAGGTTTATAACAAACGTTGATTTGAACAAAAAGGATTGCAATCCTGTAGGCACAGATCTGGGTCGCAATCCATATTGCTCTCTGAAGAGAACAAAGAAAGGCAGGGTTTATAAAGGAAAAAACCACAAGTGCAGTTCCCACTGAGGTCCTCCGTGCAAATGAAGGATTGCTGGCTGGGTTCGTCAGGATTGTGAATTCCGATATGCAGATGAGGCTGGCGGGAACTCCCAGGAGGAGGTCAAGTCCAGGCAGCAGCTGCTCTTCCAGGACGTTTGTGGCTTGGCCTTGAGCTGAGTTTAGCCACAGGTTAGCAACTTAATAGCAGTTCTGAGAACTGATGCATGAGACATGCATAGTCCCCACTTCCTCAGTGGCCTCCCAACTCTGTTTCAAAGTGACTTTCTTAGCAACGCTTAATTCCATTTTATTTTCTCCATTATCAGGCACATCCTTGAACTCTCCCTAAGTCGGGTGCCACCTCAGCACCCTTATCTGCAGTGTGCCCAGTGGCCACTGTGATGGACTGAGTTGCCCTGGGAAATGAACCTAAATTCACTCCTGGTTTGTTTTGATCCAGGCTCCTGAGATATTGTATTTATTCATGGGCTGTTTACAAATCTGCATTTTGAACAGGGGGAAAGAATATTTTTGACCTTTGACAACTTTCTTTTCCCTCCACATCTCCACCCCTCCTCCAAAAGCCCTATCTTTTTCTGGTTGGCTTATTTCAGTCAACAATAAAAATATACATATGTATATTTAAAGCCCTGTCTTGTATGGCCAAGTGTCCTATTTTCCCATTATATTTTATGGAGACTTTTCCACCCTCTTCTGGTATCACCTCTCAGATAGGCAGGTTACCTTGCCCTGACAGACAGTTAAATGTACACTCCAGAATGAAGTGAAAGTATTTATAATTGAACACCTTACCAGAAAATGACCAAAGTATGAGTTCAAATAAAAGTGTCAAGTAAAATATCTTAAACAGTTGTGAGGAAATTACTGGCAATAGAACATCAGCGTTCCTCTGAAGATAAAGTTGGTCTCACAATCAAGGAAGAAACACTGTCAGCTCATGGGGACCCATGACAATCAGATTCCTGCCATTGCTTCTCAGAATGCAGATACTGAACCCACGACCCCTCCCAGAATCAGCCTCTTCTGAGGCCAGTGCAGCCCTCTAAGCCCAGGGCAAATGTTAACAATACAATGTGCAGACTTTTACCTTTAGCAGTGAAGCCCTTCATTACTATGAGCCTTGAAGGAAATATGGAATGCACCCATTTATTCAGTAAATATTTACTGAGACCTACTGTGCTCCAGGCATTGTGCTAAAGGTTGCTTAGGAAAAAATTCTTTCACCCAGCTGTAATAATTTAATGTGATTGGCATCTGGCTTAACTAAATTCTTAAGAAATATATTTCTTTTTTTTTAATTGTGCCAAACCTCAAACTGAAAGCTTTAGAAAACTAAATTAATAATTAATTTTTTAAAATGGAGAGCTCATTCTTAGATGCTTAAAGAGGCATTCCCTTAGTTTTTAGCTATTACAGATTACTTCCTTCTCTGCTTTAAAGATGAAAAAAAAATAGAGCCATTTTACCAAACTGTAACATTGATTTTGGAAGTGTATGTAAATTTTAGAGAAAAACCATTAAATGTGCCCAATTTATTTCTCCAAATATTTAAAACCATAACAGCCTCATATGATGTTAAAGCATATAAAATATATAGTAGCCATCTATTACAGCTCTCCAAGAAGCTCCTTTACTGGCTATGAATCTTACACCCCAAGTCTCCTTTATTGCTCTTTTGACAAATACATTCACTTTTCAAGGCCGGCTTAAGTGAATTTGCTCATTTTGTGTGCTCAGCAGAGAGGAAAACATCTGTGTAAAAATTTCTTCACAGAAAACATCCCCATTCATTCCTTCTCAAGACAAATGCAGATACTTAAATTTTGCTTAATGGTTCTTTAGTGTTTTGAAATACTGTATCGAAGCTGTGATGGAGTTAGCTGAGGTGCTTGGAAAAAGGAGATCAATGAAAGCTTCGAATTTTATATAATCAAACTTTCTACCTTCAAGAGAGTCACGCAAAACACTGCAAACACATTAATGCAAAACTTCATTTTCCAAAAGGAAGCACAGTCCAAATAAGCCCATCATTCACTTGATCACTGTGGGAGAAGAAACTGCAAAGGAGTACATCTGAGTACATTTTCTATAAATCACCACTAACCCTTTTTAGCTCACATTTCCTGAACATCTACTTGTTACTGTATACCTGGTAGACACTAGAAAGACATGGCGTCATCACTGCTCAGGTCTTCAGTAAATGTAGGCTGAAGGTCTTCTTTGTCTCTGGCACTGTCTTATGTGCTATAGAGTATAGCAAGATTATAATTAAACATATAAAACACTAAAATGGAGTTTTAGACTCAATTTTGAGGCAGGATAGAGGATGGGGTAACTAATCTTGAAAATAAATTGGAATACTTCACAGAGAAGATGGTACTTAAAGTGTGTTTT